AAGTGTACCTCTGGTGCAAATTACTGACCTCTGTCATCATTTTAGGTGGGGGAACTTGCACAATCGGTGGCTGACTAAATACTTTTTTGCCCCACTGTAAGTCCCCTGCTTTGCATCTTTGTGGTTTGTGCAAACCTGTAGAGTCCATGCGGCTGAACTGCGCTGTTTGTGAAACTAACCCACATTTGTAGAAAATCATCAGTAATGGTCTCGGTTGTTGTGACTCCACTGTTTCCACTGTACCTGTGCATGCATGCGTAGATCACCTACCTCATGATGAAGGGCATGAAAGGTGCGAGCCCCAAAGGAGAAGAGGATCCATCCATGGGAGAAGGGTAGAGCCGACTGAGAACCAGCAGCAGCAAGAAGAGACTGGGGTGCAGCTTCACCTGACCGCTGTCACTGAACATGTACACAAACACAAAGACGCACACAATTAACGTTATCTAGAAAGTAAAAGTCATAAATCATCAATGGTAAAGCCGTTAAATGAATGAATACTTCAAGGCGACACTCCTGCCGTCGCTGTAATGGCAGAGAACCGATAAACTGAACGCTGTTTTGGATAATCTTCTTCAGACATGATCATGAGGGACTCTGTACACATAAAAGAAGTTGTTAGCAAAGGAAAGGGCCTGAAACGTGGGCTCTAGTACTAACCTTCACTTCTCCAGTGAAGGGTTGTTAACAGCCCATAGATAAATGTGGGGCTTATGCTAACATGCAGTCAAACTCTATGAAGTTGAACTTCAGGAGTCTCTATGGCAGAACTGCACAGCAATTCTTTCTTCACTTTCTTGCCCTTTGCTAAGAGTTCATAGTTAAATGAGAATATCCTCTTGTCTATCGGCTAGTGATGTGCAGATCGATCCTGAAATATCGATTCCTCCGATACCAATCATTTATGTTCTAGAATCGATTCTCACATTAAAATATCGATATTTTAGTAATTTAGAGTAAATTTGTAGTTTATCATTAACAGGAACACAGTGGAAAGAAACTATAACATTCGGATTGTCTACATTCAAAGGAACTACTTCCTCTTCCGCCTTTCATAGTCATGAGCGAAATACGGCTGTATAAATGTCTCGCAGCCCCTTGGCGTGCGCACTCATAACGATGGCTGAGCGTAATTGTGTGGATGTATTTTACCTCCACAAACAGCTGAGACGTGGTTTGCAATACATGTGGCAAAAAGGTGAGGTGTTGTGGCCATACTAGGGAGACATTCAAAAGGGCTGTTGGGGGGGGATAAATACATTTTACAGGGTTTATTTATTGGAAATAAATACGTTACGTTACGTTAAATGTCACCGTTATTATTGGCCGGCCCGGAAACAGCGGGGGTGTCCAAATTCAGAGGCTGCTTCTGAGGACCCGGCCTTCGCGGTCTAAAGAAAGCCGGGTAGTACGTCACAGGCTCCCTCGGTGGAGAGAAACTCTGCCATCTGCTCCTTGCTGTCTAGATATAACAGGGCGCTGGCGTAAACTCTCGACTGTCTCACACTTTATTTAATCAGTTTTCTGTTTGATGTTTATTCAGCTGTGTGAAAACCCTGGAGGAACCCTCCCGAGAGATTAATAAAGTTTAATTTAATCTAATCTAATAACTTTAATCTCAGCCAAACCGATTTAATCACAAACAAATAAAACACTGAAAAA